GACTTACTCCTGGGTAAGTGGGGTTAGGACTGCAGCCTAAGCCTAGGAGACAGTCACATTCAACTCAAAGGGAATTACTTTGAGTAGGCATATAAAGCATTGTGCTGCATGACTAAAACCTAAGCATATTTATTTGGTAGTAAATTCGGCTGATGCTGATGAGATTTTGTTAGGACTGGGTTGCAAATTCTGTCACCCTTCGTTAGCAAAATTCAATTTGGGTGAAAAGTCACCAGTTCTCAACACAGAGTTCAAGCAAACTCTTTACAGCGCAGTCTTAAAACGAGACTAGTAAGGCACAAAGGATGTGGATGCTGAAACTATTATGAATAATGATCTGGATGTGTCGATTTTAATTTGGTTGCAACACAGAAGTATTTTCTGCTGGCCTTCATTTAAAAAGTTGCTCAATATGTGAGTAATTGCAGTGCATCCGAAATGGTGACTTTGAAATTATGGAAAAATTTCGGCTTCCGGGGGGCGGCGCGAACGGCAATGGCGGTCTTCTCCCGACGGGAGAGGAAGCTCCGCTGAAATCGGGTCGTCCGCTACGGCGAAGCGGAGACCCAACGAGAAAACCCCAGGCAGTAAGAGCCTGGGGTCCTGAGGCTCGGCGGGCGCCAAGAGCAGCCCTCCAACTGCAGAAGGAGCCTCGTAAGGGGCTCCGGAGCGTGGAGGGGGGTTGCGGCGCTGTGAGCCGTTTCACAGTCAGCGGAGTGAAGCCGCGCTGCTGCTGCCGGTGAGCGCTGATCCCTTTTCCTGTTAAAATTCGGACCTGGAAGAAAACAACTTATTCGTGAGTAAAGACTGAATCACTTGGAATTATAAATTTTAAATGAGAAGGTTCAATTTGGCTTGAATTTGGCTGAAAGCGGAGAGACGTGGAAACAGGAAGTCCGTCTTCCGCTGCCATTGAACTTGAAAAAAAAAGCAACTAAGGCAGAGGAGTGGAGGCTGAAAGAAAGAGATTTTAAACTCTACACAGCCAAGCATCTATGGAACTTACAATTTAAAGTAAAACTAGCAAGTTAAAGATTTGGATCTTTTATTTGCACTTGACTTTCCCCCTTTTATTGGATTACAAATTGGAAGGTGAAACCCAGAGTCAGGATTGCTTGAGCACTGTAAGAGCGAGCTGCCAGTGTTGATTTGGATACTGTATATTAGAAGTTGCAACAATCTGAGGGTATTGAGACCTTTTAAATTTGAAACATTCTTTTTGGAGACAAATAAGCACTGTCTGCAACAAAGTGATTACTTTTAAACTCTGCTTAATACTTATATTGGAAGGTTCTGGGACATTAAATCAGACTCTGAAAGACATCTTAAGCTCCCTCTAGAGGATTGGATTAAAACAGTGACTTTACAAATACATTTACTTTCGATTCCCTTGTTGTTTGCTTGCTCTGGGCCTTTCTATTCCTGTGGGAAAAACTCAGTGTGACCTTGACTGATAGATAACATTGGAATGAGTGGTACAAGAAGAAGAGGAAGAGTTAGACAAACAACTCTAACAACTCTAACCGCAGCCTCGCAGACACGTAGATCATCTGTGCCTACTTTGCCCTCAGAAGTACAACTTGAAGAAGCTGTCTTGCCACAGGCAAAAGAGGGAGAGGGTGAAGCAGAGCAGTTACAATTGGAAGATATGGCCTCAGGAGCATCTGTTTCTGTGCTAGAAAAAAATCTTTGAAAAATTGGAAGCTTTGGACAAGAAAGTAGATGCGCAATCAGCAAAGATTGATAAAAATACAGACTGTCTAAACAAATTAACTACACAGGTGGGACAGAATACACAAGCAATTGGACAGTTGACGGAGGCCTCAGTAGAAAACCGAAAATTGGCTGAGGATACCAGACAAAAATTGGAAAATTTAGAGCAAGAGGTAAGACCACTCACTAAACAAGTTGGGGAACATCAGACTTATCTTTCTATGATAGAACTGCGAAATCGTGAGAATAATTTGAGGATTAGATCATTACAAGAGGCAGAAGAAGGAAATCTAACTGAGTTTTTGACCAAAGAACTTTCCAAGTTCTGGAATTTGGAAGAAAAGGACTTTAAAATTGTGTCAGCTTTCAGACTTGGAAGATTTATAAAGAAGGAGAGGCCCAGGGATTGTTTGATTACATTGAGATCGAAGGAGGAAAGGGATAAGATTTTGGGTCTACATTACGAAAAGTCACTGGAGGTTTTGGATAGAAGAATTGAGATATATAAAGATATCCCAAGACAACTGTTGGACCTTAGAGCCGCCTATTCTGAACTTGCTAAACTATTAAGGAGCAACGCAATTCCATTCAGGTGGGAATTTCCACAAGGATTATCTTTTACCTTTAGAGCGAGAAAGGTTAAAATTAGAACATTGGAAGAGAGAGATAAATTTCTGGCTACATACGGAGAGGACCTACATAAAGGAATTGAACTACCTTCCGGGCCTGGGGCAAAGCCAGCATCAATACCTCCACCTGGGGAACTTGAAGACCCAGAGAAGACACCACCCCGGGAGAAATAACCAGACAGATCCAGGATGTCTCTGCAACTGTTGAGCTGGAATATTAATGGCTGTAATATTCCGGAGAAAAGGAAGAAAATATTTCATATACTAAAAAAAGAACAATTGGACATTATTTGTTTACAAGAAACACATGTGACGAGGCTCCACAGAAAAGTGTTAATAAATAAAAGATTGGGCCAGGAATTTATTTCGTCGGACAAAGTGAAGAAGAGAGGAGTGGTGATATATGCAAAAGAGAGCCTGTCACCTAAATTTCTATTTAAAGATGAACATGGAAGGATTTTGGCTATTGAGATACAATATCAAGGAGAGAAACTGCTGATATTAGGAATTTATGCGCCCAATGAAGGGAAATCGGAATTTTACAAGAAGTTGCAGGGGACAATGCTGGATCATCTGGATTACAACAACATCATAATGATGGGAGACATGAACGGGGTCGTATCAACTAACATGGACAAGTCGCAAAGTCAAAATGTTACAAAAGATGGCAGACTACCTAAAACCTTTTTTGAAATGACTGACAATATGGACTTGATCGACATTTGGAGAACAAAGAACCCACTAGGTAGAGAAGGAACATTCTTTTCTGAAGCCCAACTGACCTGGACAAGAATCGACCAAATATGGATCTCTAGAGGCCTGGCACCTAGGGTTAGAAAAGTGGAAATCTGCCCAAAGACCTGCTCTGACCACAACGCAGTAAAGATGGATATGACACTACTACCAACTGGATCCTTTAGATGGAAGATGAATGACAATTTGTTTAGAGATCAGGAAATTACCAAGAAGGCCCAAAAAGCTTTGAAAGACTATTTCGAGATAAACATGAACAATTCGGTGGAAAAAGAATCGTCTGGGACGCAAGCAAAGCTGTCATGAGGGGATTTCTGATACAACAGAATGTAGTAAAGAAAAAAACACAAAATGAGAAAAAGACAAGATTTTGGATAAAATAAAAGAATTAGAGAAGAAATTAAGAGTGAATCCAAAGTCACAGCCAACTCTGAGAGAAATTAAACTGTATCAAACACAATATTCTAAATTGATAAATCAGGAAATTGAATGGAAGATTAAATTAATGAAACAAAAAACGTTTGAGTCGGCGAATAAATGTGGAAAACTGCTATCTTGGCAGTTGAAGAGAAGACAAAGATTAAATACGGTTACAAATTTAGAGGTTGATGGAAGAAACATTCAGAATCCAGTGGACATTAGAAAGTGTTTCCAGAGATATTTTAAAAAAACTATATACCCAAGGGCCGCAAGACGAAGTCGAGATTAAACAATTTTTGCCAAAAATGGATTATCTAAACTGTCACAAGAAAATAGGACAACCCTGAACTCTAAAATAACACGACAGGAGATTGAACAAGCTATTCAGAACATGCAACTTGGCAAATCTCCAGGGCCAGACGGGCTGACCTCCAAGTATTACAAGACACTAAAAGACTACTTGATACAACCCTTGATGGAGGTTAGCAATGAAATTATGGAGGGGAAGAGGGCACCGGATTCGTGGAAGGAAGCGTTTATCACATTGATACCAAAGTCAGAAACTGAAAAGACACAACTGAAGAACTACCGTCCCATCTCCCTTTTAAATGTGGATTACAAAATATTTGCAGATATATTGGCAAGTAGATTTAAAAAAGTTTTAAATGAAGTAATTCATAAGGACCAGGCCGGTTTTCTCCCAGGCAGACATCTGTTTGCTAACACAAGGAACATTATTGATATCTTGGAACTTCTCCAAACTGACATAAATACAAAAGCAGTTTTAATTTTTATAGATGCGGAGAAGGCCTTTGATAATATTTCTTGGAAATTTATGATGGGAAACTTAAAAGAGATGGGAGTGGGACGGGGTTTTGAGAATGGGATTGAGGCGATATATTCAGAACAGAAAGCTAAACTGATAGTTAATAATGTGGTCACAGAAGAGTTCAAAATTGAAAAAGGGACACGACAAGGTTGCCCTATCTCCCTTTGTTATTTATTTCGGTCCTGGAAGTGCTATTGAACATGATTAGAGGGGACCAGTTGGTGGAAGGAATTCAGGTTGGTCAGAAACAATATAAACTAAAAGCTTTTGCAGATGACCTGGTTTTGACCTTGCAGAAGCCAGAGCCTAGTACGAAAAGAGTATTACAATTGATTAATGACTTTGGTCGGGTGGCGGGATTTAAATTAAATAAACAGAAAACCAAGGTTTTGGGGAAAAATTTGACTGAGACAGAGTCAGAACGGTTTCAGAATGAGACGGAACTTAATGTGGTTAAAAAGTAAAATACCTAGGGGTAAACATAACAGCAAAAATCTAAGTCTATTTAAGGATAATTATGAAAAATGTTGGACAGAAATTAAGAGAGACTTAGACAGTTGGTCAAAATTGAAACTTTCTTTGTTAGGCCGAATTGCTGCAATTAAGATGAATGTATTGCCAAGAATGTTGTTTTTATTTCAAACACTTCAGGTTTTGGACAAAATGGAGTGCTTTCAGAAGTGGCAGAGAGACATTTCGAAGTTTGTCTGGCAGGGCAAAAAGCCCAGAATTAAGTTTAAGATACTAACTGATGCAAAACAAAGAGGGGGCTTTGCCCTGCCGGACTTAAAGTTGTATTACGAAGCCGCAGCGTTCTGCTGGCTAAAAGATTGGCTACTTCTTGAAGACACTGATGTGTTGGATTTGGAGGGGTTTAACAATGTTTTTGGATGGCATGCATATTTATGGTATGACAAAGTTAAAGCAAATAAGGCCTTTAAGAACCATATTGTTAGAAAATCACTGTTTAATGTCTGGACAAAATATAAAGACTTGCTGGAAAATAAAACACCAAGGTGGCTTTCACCTTTGGAAGCTAAGGCCCGAAAAAGACCCAATATGGAGGCCAAATGGCCAAAATATTGGGAAATACTAGAAAAGATGGAGACAATTGGAAATTGCAGAGTTTGGAGAAAATGAAAGACAAAGTGCGAGATTGGTTACACTATGCTCAGATTAAAGAAGTTTTTAAAAATGATAAGAAACTAGGGTTCCAGGTGGAGAAATCGAAATTAGAAACAGAATTGTTAGAACCAAAGATTAAGATACTTTCAAGGATGTATAACTTGCTGTTGGAATGGAATACACAAGATGAAATGGTTAAATCGGCTATGATAAGGTGGGCACAGGATATTGGGCATAATATTATGTTTGAGGACTGGGAAAGGCTGTGGAGTAATGGATTGAAATTTACTGCATGTAATGCTTTGAAAGAAAATGTAATGAAAATGATTTATAGATGGTATATGACCCCAGTCAAACTCGCAAAAATTTACCACCTGTCTGATAACAAGTGCTGGAAATGTAAAGAGTGTGAAGGAACGTTCTTTCACCTCTGGTGGACCTGCCCTAAAGTGAAGGCGTTCTGGGAAATGATTTATAATGAACTGAAAAAGGTATTTAAATATACTTTCACTAAGAAACCAGAGGCTTTCCTTTTGGGTATTGTCAGCCAAGGGGTGGCAAAGAAGGACCAGACATTTTTATGTATGCAACAACAGCAGCAAGGATACTACTCGCAAAACATTGGAAAACTCAAGATCTACCCACACTGGAAGAATGGCAGATGCAACTGATAGACTATATGCAACTGGCTGAAATGACTGGCAGAATCCGTGACCTGGGAGAAGAGAGAATCGAGGAGGATTGGAAGAAATTTAAGAACTATCTACAAAAACATTGTGATTTGACTGAATGCTGAATAAGATGCTAGACTAAATAACTGAGCACCACTTAACTTAGAAATTTTTAAGAAAATAAGAAAAACTGTGAAAGTTTAACTCTTTATGAGAACTTTAAGATTATGAAATATCGAAGAGATATAAGAACTTAAATAAGATGATAAATTGCTGACAAAATGTTATAATGATGAAGGTGGGAGCGGGAGATGTGAGGAAGTCCAAAGAAAATGTGAAACTATGTTAAGACGAATGTTATATTGTTTATTACATTTATTCTTATTGTAAAATCCAATAAATTGCTTTAAAAAAAAAAAAAATGAAATTATGGAAAAATTTCTTGGCTCTGAAAAGAGAACAATATGATTTGGGTTTTGGGTGGAAAATACGTTAGGTAAAGCGGAGCAGTGAAGAACTCAAGGCTGAACTGTTGTTGCCAGACACTACTCTTTTGGCACAGCATCTTCAGTCTCTGAAGTGGTTTTGGCAGTCTTGACATCTCTCTTAGAGCCACAATGTTGTATATAGGAATATATTGCTACATTACTTCAATCCATAACAAAGGAATGAGACTCAAGGAAGCTGCAGCATATGTATAGAACAGAAATGGGATAAATGCATGAGCAATCAGTTATTGAGATAGTGCTTTTATTCCGTGATCTGTAATCAAAGACCTACATATAAATATAATTCAGGCTAGACAGTATTATACGTTCTCTTCTGCAATATTCTCTTGCTTTTCCCAGTGCCATCTTAAGTAGCTGAAATCCATTTCTACCTCCAGCATTGCTATTTTCTTTAATGAGAAAACAAAAGAAGAACAAGCCACTGTAAGAAGAACACTACTAGAATGGGCCAGTGGTCCATCTCATTCAGCTTCTTGTTTCCACATTGACTAATCAGCTGTTCCTAAGAAGTCCAAAGGCAACAGACATCTCCCTGCATTGCTTCCCAGCAGAAGGTTGTATATAGCCATCATAACCTGGAGCCATTAACAGATTCATCCTTGGTAATCAAATCATTGGAATTCCAAAATGGGGATGGATGATTTCTGCTGACCTTTTTCATTTAATGCACCTATTGAAGTTCACTTCTGTATGAACCTGAGCAATAGTCGGCTTGTAGCATTTAATTCTACCTATAGGCAAAGAGATGCTATCTTAATTGACCATGGTAGTCAAATAAAAAACACTTTATGGGTGAACAGCTTGTACTTTAAATTGTTTTGTGAATATTCATTTGTTTGCTATATTTATATGTCACCTTTCTGCCAATGCACACAAAGCATTTTACAGTCTTTTTCTCACCATTGGCCGTGTTGGCTGGAGCTGGAGTCCAGCAACACCTGGAGACACCAGGTTAGTCATCCCTGCCTTAAAGACACAGATACTACATACTGCGGCCATAGTATTAACCTTTGCTTATTTTCCTCACCCCCCCCCCATTTGTCAGGAGCAGGGCAGCTGTATATTGCACAAGGTAAGTGGAGTTAACTCTTTATTAGGAAAAAACATCATCTGTAAAGAGCACAGCAACTCTTCTTCGATAGGAATTACCCCATGAAGCAGTTGCAGACTGAAGGTCCCCACCTTCCCACAACTAAGTCCCCTCCTCCCCAGGGCTTTCCCCAAACAGTCTGAGACTGCGCCTGTGTACTTGCTCCTCCTGTTTCATGCCTCCTCTGGTTCTGGGAGACCGCTGGGAAGTGAGCTTGTCACAGCAGGAGGGAGAGACACTCATGCCTCTTTGCAGTCAGACTCCTCTCTGCCTCTTGGTCTCCTTCCTCTCCTGCCTTGGCTTCTGAATCTGGACTTCTTTCTGCCACAGACTCTTGCTGGTCATTAAACCCTGTTAGCTCTTCAGCTTCTGACACCTCCTTCTCCCAGGCCTCTCCCTTTGACCACTCATCATTGTCCCACCACCAATCCCCTGGCTCTGAGCCTTCTTCCTTTAGGGATTTCCCAGCTGGCTCCTCCCACCATTCCTCCGCATCCAACTGGTCCTTGACACCATCTCTTTTGTAGCATGCCTACCAAATATCAATCTAGCATTTTAAATGGGGGGGGGGCTATTTTATTTCTGTCTCACATTTATATCCCACCCATCATGGAACTGAAGGTGGTTCCCAGGTGCTCACATATCCATTGCCTGCCCAGACCTGCTTAGCTTCAACAAGGTGGTTGCCTCATGTGCCTTCCCCACCATGCCTTAAGGAGCTCAACAAGAGCCAGTAAAAAATCCTAGATACTATGGTGATTCATAGTAAGTATATTTATTAATGCGCGCACACACCCTGTGCTTATGCAGACCTTGTGTCTTGCTTTCTTCTCCAATGGGCTTTTAAAAATAGCCGACTGGATCTCTTCCCTTTCTTCTCCTCCATGTGGAGGCTGACGCAGTTTGTGCCAGCACCTGCATGGACTTTGTAAGCTGCAAGACAACTCATTCAGTTGCAAGTGAAACATTCCTGATATTTTCTGTTTGTCCGAGTTACGAGACGATCCATGATTCATGTCTGAACTGAATTACTAACATCATAATAACTGGTAGATACAAGCTACTCTAGTAAATATGCAACAGGGCTCCAAACACAAAATATGTTGATTGTTTTCTCAGCAGGTGATTTAAGGTCACTAGCTTCTACAGCTGCTAGACGTACAATAGCCTCCCCCTGAATCCAGCATGGACTGATTCGTGGTAAACAATGCCTGTTAAACTGGTTGTTAGGGTTTGATGACTGTACTTCAAGCAAGGGGCAGTTGGATAAGGGAAAGGAACATGTAGCAGAGTGAGAAATCTGTGTTACAGGTGAAAAAACAATTTGTCCTATAATTACCTCTCACCCACAAGCCTCTCAAAGCACTGGCTACAATAATAAATAAGGATTGGTATTATTTAAGAAAAAGTGCTACTATGATTCAGGGAAAGCTGAGATGCAGCTGGAACAGATGTTGTCTTCCATTCAGTTTCTGATCAAGTAATCAATGAAGTGATCGTAGAAACTAAAGAAGAACTAAGTTAGACATTCTAAGTGATCTCTGTTTCTTGGGAGGGGGGAATCTGTCTGCGTCAATATACTGCCTTTTCTTAGAGAAGCAATAGTAAATGAATGGAGTTCTTTCACGCCATCTCTTTTGAAGTGAATTCCTTCATTGCTCTCTTTGACATCACCATACAAGCTATTTATAAGTCCTTCGTGATTTTTTTTTCTTTGTAAACTGCGTTAATAATGACTGTACTTCTTTTAATCAGTGTTATAGAACTTGTTCAGAATTCTTAGGGTGGGAAGAAAAACCTAGATAATAGGAATGATTCACTAAGTGCTTTTCACAGTGATTTCAACCTCATGCTTAACTCTTCAACTGGAATCAACAGGATTTTAGACCACTTTGGCTGGATCATACCCAATTATATTGCTACTTTAAAATGCATGCGTAGTGATAAGCTATTACGCAGGTGAGGAACTACACAAGGGATCCCCAAAAGAGGTCCCCAATTTGCCCACAATGTAAGAGGAATGGTGAGCATTTCACGACACATGAAATCTTAATAGCTTGGTTCTGGGTTCTTAAAGGATCATCTTCTCCGGTATGAACCTGACTGAAATTTAAGAGCTGCCTTGGAGACCCTCCTCCAAGTACTTCCAGTATGTGGTGACTATGGAGAAGGCCTTCTCAGTTATGGCAACCCTTTCATATAATACTCTTCTCCCTCAGTAGCTGAGAATGGTCTAAATTCTTTCATCATTCAGAATGCAGGTTAAGATCTTCCAGTTTCCCAAGACTTTTAGTGTCTTACAATAGCTGTTAATGCTGTGAACCCTCTTTTCTGCTGCTCTGATTTCATTTTTAAATGTTTTATTGATCTCTTCTGTTTAAAACACTTTTAATTATTGTTTGTTCTTTAGGTAGCTGTTTTTTCCTCCTGCAAGCCATTCTGAGATATTGTTTTACTAGAAAGGTAACCCAGATCTCTTGGTTTCACACACTTCTAAATAAACATGTATAGTCAAGTGCTTTCGCTAGATTGTCTCCTTTTGCAAACTGGTGACAATCTAGCGAAAAATATTTGGCAGGCGCCACATCCAGCTACTAGGATGAAAGAATTCGCTACTGTATGCAGGGCCACTTAAGGCAAACTTCAAAAACCTTGTTTATCAAATGTTCAGTGGTTCTAACTTCCAAACCTGCACTGGAACTCATTTTGAAGTCTGGCTCCTTGCAACTCTAACGACAAAATGTTCCAAAACATATGCGGGATGGAGATCATCTGACATTCACCCCTACTAGTTAAAGTTTATGAGTCAGTTTCTCTGCCACAAACTATGCAACTCCTGTCTGTAAAGCCTTTGAACAGA